GGGGGGAGGGGGGGGGGGGTGTAACCTCCATTACCTTCTTTGATGGATCACAGAGGGGTCCTGACAAAAATGCCAGTCCTGTGGTATATAATATAATCCACCTCTCTTGGGGGGCCCCCTCCTCAGCTCGGGGCCCCCAGGCAGAAGCCCTGCTTTGTCTACTCCTTTGTGACGCTTCTGGATTTAAGGTCATATATTAAGATTTTTTTTTTTTTTTTTTGTCTCCCACACTTTTATGCAAAAATGTTGTTTGAAAGAAACTCATTGTTGGAAAATGTAAAAAACATGACTTATGAAGAAAAAGGCGTTTTTTTCAGGCATCTGTGTTGAGTTTTCGTGACAGTCAAACATGTATCGACTTGTTTTTTTTGTTTTGTTTTTTTTTCACCCAGTAACAACAAACACACTGTGAGATGCACTTAATCACTGGATGGCAGTGGCAGTGGCTGCATGTGGGCCACCAGAGCCCAACTGCTTCCTGCCAACTGCACAGTTAATCAAACACAAGCGTGATCCTGTTCATCTGAGGTCGGGCCTCAGAAAAGTACCACGGGCTGCAGTAGTACTCCAAAATACTCTTTAAGTCCGAGACAGAGATTAGGGCCTGAAGATCTGAGCCCAGAGAATTCCCATCTGTGAATCGGTGGCAACAGGATTATATTAAAGTGTAGTTGTGGGCAGAGTTCTCCACAGTTCTTCCTCTGGGTCTTAGTCAGGATTACGGACAAACACAAATCTGGCATAAATGCTGTCAGATGTTTGAGAGAAACTGACGCTAAAGGTTGCTGTAAATACCCTCGATAATTAGCAACAAACAATGGATGTACAGTATACAGTATGTGCATACATGTGTACATATATATATATAATTATAGATATATACATTTTTATATATGTATGTATGTATATGTGTATATATGTATATATATATATTTATGTATATATGAATATATGTGTATATATACATATATATACTGTACATATACAGCATATATTCTTTTTCTTTCGCTTTGTCCCCTTTTTCATATATATATACATATATATATTTGTCCTCTAGTTCGTCTCCAACACGCAACGAAGCGTGTTTGGGTTTGGTTTATCAAACACGCCACAGAAAAGAAAAAAAAATGACATGTAAACTATTAACCTTTTACCCTCCAGATACCGGACTCACTACAGACCCGTCTATAAGATCGGCTACAAGGTCATAACAGAGCTGGAGTGGAGGTGTTGTCCCGGCTACCAGGGCTTCGACTGCAGGGAGGTGAAAGACCTGAGGCTACTGCAGGAGGCGCACTCACCTCAGACGTCCTCTGTTGCTGGACACATTCCTGGTTCACGAGGTAAAAGATGTAACTGTTCTTTTCATCTTCACATACTTCTTCAGGGGTTGTGGGGGGAGAAGTGGAGCAGATCCCCCCCCCATCCCACCCCACCCCCCAGAAAACTATAATGGAGCAGATCCCACCCCACCCCCCAGAAAACTATAACCTGAACTATAGCTTGACATTTGGACTAGTGGTGAAGACAAGAACAGCGACTGACTTCAGCTTTTCTGGGTTTTGTCATGTTTTTTTGTTCCAGAACAGGGAACAGGGAACGCCTGGAGAAACCACCCGTGGAGGGGGGGCGGGCAGTTTGAAGGTCAGACAGGTTCGAGGGCAGCAGTAGCCGCAGTTCCAGCAGCACCAGCACCAGAAGCAGCATCAACAGCAGGCCACACGGGGCACCATCGTTCCAATGACCTGGAGGAGGAGGTGCAGAGACTCTCTCAGATGGTCCTGGACATGCAGTCCAGAATGACGGACATGTCCGCCAACCTAAGGATGGACTTCCAGGAAGACGCCAGCAAGATGTTTCACACGCTGCTCAACGATCTACAGCAGCCCATCGGGGCGCGAGGTGGAGACACCGAAACCATCCAGGTGAAGGACGTCTCCTTCCCCGACGACGGGCTGCAAATGGACGAGGTCATGAACAGGATAAGCCAGGTGTCAGAAGACCTGGAGACCAAGAGTAACACGCTGGACGACCTGCTGAGGCGCGTTGGTGAACACGATGGACAGATTCATCTTCTCATCGAAGCCGCCGACAAACCTCTGGCACCACCTTCTCCTGCTCCACCAGCCACTGATCCAAACCTGCGTTCTTATGTGGACGAGAAGATCCAAGCTCTGAGGAAGGAGATGATGGAGGGCATGGACATCAAACTTGCCGACTTGAAGAACTCCTGTGATTATAAATTAATGTCAGTCAAAGAGCAGTGTGAGGGACAGGAGACGAACTACTTCAGTCTCACTGAGCTGCTGGACTCCAAGGAAACTGAACTCAGGAATGAGATCCAGGACTTGAGGGACAAGCTGGTGGATCCTGTGAAGGAAGGGACACGGGTGTCTGACTCTGTTGTAGATCGTGTAGGAAATCTTGAGGCCAATCTGAACTCATCAAAGACCATGGCAGAGAAGTGTCTCTCTGTTGGGAAGGAACTAAAGACAGAAAGAACAGAGATCATCAAAGACCTGAGGGACGATCTGGAGGAGAAGATCACGTCCTTGGAAGGAAGACTTTCTAACCTGTTGGTGGAGAGGAGCATCGTTACGTCCTCTGAACTTCAGCCAGAAGTTACAAATGCTCTGCAGAAGGATGTGGAGGCGCTGAAGACCTCTGTTCAGACCATTGAAGGTAGACTAAATACGTCGGACAAAGTCAAGTCCAGTGCTCCGTGGGATTTGATAAATCTAGAGCAAACTGTTCAGAGTCATGAAGTCTCTATAGGTGTCATCAAGACTATTATCAGAGAAAACAGAAATAACCTCGAGGCCATGGAGAAACGACTCCTCAACTGCAGCCATGGCATGGAGGAAGTACACCGTGACCTGAGCTCAGTGGACAACCGCATGGTCCGACTGGAAGACACTCTGTCCCACCTGGTCCATCAGCAGACCTTTAACCCTACAGAGGCAGACCAGGAGCTGAAGAACCTGTTGGACTTAAACACAGCCCAGCAGGAGGCGCTGAGGGACCGCCTGGACAACCTCAGCAGGGACGTGACGGCCGGAGGTGAACAGTGTCGTGAGAAAACGGACCAAGTGGAGAAGGAGATCGCTCACATCGACAGCCGTATCGTCAGCATAGAGGACTTGTGCGGTAAACTGGATCCTATCTCTGGCAGCATCCAGAGAATCAAAGAGGGCCTGAACAAACACGTCACCGCCCTGTGGACCTGCGTCCACCAGCTGAATGGAACAGTCCGAGCTCAGTCCAGAGATATCGGGACGTTGAGGGGAACCAGCCTGATCCTGGAGAACCACGTCGCTGACATAGCCAGAAACCTGGAGATGTTAACGGGCAGCGATTTGAAAAAGTCAGGTAGGACCAGAAATATATTTCTCTCAGTACTTTTTCTTCTTATGCTTCTTACAGTCTGGGTCTGTAGTTAACGGACAGACAGACAGACATCGAGACAACGGCAGAAAGGACAAGAATGTTATTGTAAGCTGAATGCTAACTAACACTAATAATAGCATGAAGCTAGTCCAGGGGAGCTTAAATTAGTTAACGGATCTTTACAAGTTGTGAATGCTAACTAACGCTAATAATAGTGTGAAGCTAGTCCAGGTGATCTTAAATTAGTTAACGGATCTTTACAAGTGAGTCACAAAAGAAAACAGATCAAATAATGACCAAGGTTAGCTACGCTATGTTAGCTTCTTAGCTAAAACTAAGGCAAGTGTTAACATGAACAGATGGTTTTTGACATTTAGGCCAAAAACCCGACTCAGTATATTCTAATGAGAACTGAAAAATAATTCTTTGACATTCAGAAGCTGCCATCATCATAACTTCTTAGAGCTACGAAAGTTTTAGGTGCACGTGGAAGCTAGCTAAGAGAAGCTAAGTTGGACCCAGGAATGGCTGATGAAAAGATGGAAAATCTGCTTCAACCCAGGTTAAATTGGGTTTTAATTTTCCCGGGGATCATCCGTGTGTAAACACTCAGTCGACCTGACTTCAAACACTCGCTGCAGCTGTAAGAGCAGATTACGTCTTGTTTAATCTTTCGTCCGTCACGGTCTGAGCTAATGTGAGATCTGGTCTCTGTCTGGTCCTCGGAGACCACTGTGTGGACAGAAGCCCGTGTGTTGGTTCTTGGCGTGTGGTGAGGTAGCAGCGTTGGTTGAGAGGAGGTCGGACGCTCATCGCATCAGAGCGTTCTCTCTGTTCAGACGTTGATTGAAGACACATGCTAGCTTTCACACAATGCACTGGTGTTGAGCAACGGCTTGGCTCAATCAACGCGCTCCCCAGGCACTGATTTCTGTGCATGTGTGTTTCGGTCTCGTAATCAATAATCATCCGTTCTTTTTCTGCAGCGCTTCATGTGAAAGTTGATGTTTTTGAACATGTTTCCTGCTGCGTACGGTACGGCTAACCGTGTGGACGTTTCTCTAGTCGTCCAAGTCCATGACGTATGACTTGGTTGGTTGGTTGGTTTGGCTAACACTAACTTTAGCCTAACATTATATTTATAACAAAAAAAACTGATTCAATTAATTTGATTTGACGACTAAATGGAAAACTAACTAGTTAACTACTTTAATGTTAACTAAAAATATTGACCATTAACTATCGGTGCATTTTCCACCTGTCTACGTTCACAGTCGTCTAACTTTTCGCCGTTCCACGGCTAAGTTTTAGCTAGTGATGTTTAACCTTACTGCGTTCTCGATACTTTTTTTAATCTGGCCAGAAGTTCGTGGACTGGATTCAGTTTTGTAACTAATTATACAAAACATGTTATTTATAAACAGTTTCCATGGAGGGAGTTTGTTTGACATTTTTATGAAATCCTTCAGTGTCAGAGGAGGAGTGGTCGGCCCTGGGGTATTTTTACACTATCTGCCCCTTCTTAAAAGTTTGGACACTTTGGCTGTAAATAAACTTGACAGCACAGATTTCCCATATCAGTGGACTGGCTGCATACTTTTCCAGTGATCCTGCTCGTTAATATAAACCACCTAGGGGACTGAGTTGGACTGAGACGAGTCTTGTGGACGTACTGTAAAAGTGCACGGGACCTTCGCAGGCCAGGTCTCTTCCTTCCAGCTTTCAGTCACCCCCCCCCTCTCCGTTTATGGGACGGGTGATGCAACATCCAGTTCCCATCCAGAGCCTCATGGGAGGTGATCTGGAAGAGAAGAAGTCCTGGATCCTGTTCTCAGTCCTAGTCTGGTCCAAGTCCAAGTCAGAGCAGAGGCTTTGAGTCAAGATGTCCCTATGATTCATCTGTGAAGATTAGGGGATGCCAGCTTACTCATTTTGCCCACTAGTAAACCTCTGCTGGTGATCTAATGTTGCCCCTCCACCCAGGGTTAATTCATCACTCTGTCAGTGGGAGGTTCTGTCAGCGTTTCCACTTGTTTTCTTCCCTGGGTTTGTCTCTGCCTCTGGTTTTGTCTGCAGAGAGAGAGAGAGAGAGTGGAAAATGTTGACAGAAGAGGCAGCGGCACGGACCTTATTGGAAAATGTTAACAGAAGAGGCAGCGGCACGGACCTTATCATTTCACCGTATAAGGACCACTCAGCAGGGGGCGTTATTTTAGTGCGACACTGTTCTTCTCTAAGTGGTGCTTCAGTGAAGACATTTGTATCTTTGACCTTGAATCCACTCTGCAGTGACTCAGACTGTCCTGGTACGGAGACACCAGAGCTAACGCTAGCTACAACAGTCCTGGTCCAGAAACCAGAGCTAATGTTAGCTACAACAGTCCTGGTCCAGAAACCAGAGCTAATGTTAGCTACAACAGTCCTGGTACAGAGACACTAGAGCTAACGTTAGCTACAACAGTCCTGGTACAGAGACACCAGAGCTCACGTTAGCTACAACAGTCCTGGTCCAGAAACCAGAGCTAATGTTAGCTACAACAGTCCTGGTCCAGAAACCAGAGCTAATGTTAGCTACAACAGTCCTGGTACAGACACCAGAGCTAACGCTAGCTACAACAGTCCTGGTACAGACACCAGACCTACCGCTAGCTACAACAGTCCTGGTCCAGAAACCAGAGCTAATGTTAGCTACAACAGTCCTGGTACAGAGACACTAGAGCTAACGTTAGCTACAACAGTCCTGGTCCAGAAACCAGAGCTAATGTTAGCTACAACAGTCCTGGTACAGACACCAGAACTGGAATTTGGATTTTAAAAATGTCCAATTTATTTAAATATTTCTCTTTGATAAAAATGTCAAAATTCAAGATGACTTATTTACAGCCCTTTGTTTTTTTAATGAACATTCCACCTTAACACACCTGCATCATTTGTCTGCGCTGCTGTAGAAACGCCTCGGCCATCACTGCGGCTCGTAGGTCAACAACCTGTGGCCCGTGATAACCCCGCGAACCTCAACAAGACGGGACCTGACAGACGGCTGTGAGGGCCAGTGAAATCCTCCTCAAACGTCTGCTCACAGAGCTTCAGTCAGACAGTGGAGGGCTTCCACCCCCGACCTCTGACCTTTCATTTCTGACATGAAATTCTGAGGCAGGATTTATTAAATTCCCTGAGTCTGAGACTCTGAGAGTTTTTGTCCAATGGGACTCGTAAAGTCGTCGGACACTAAATCTACGCTGCGGTCATTATAATGTCGTAGTCATGTTTGTGACCCGAGGGGCAGTTGTGTTCCTGAGGGGGAGGGTGTGAGGGTAACTGCACAGCCACGGTTTCCCATGACGTTTCAGAGGGAGTTTCAACGTTTGTGGTCGACGGCGTTTCCAGCTGCATCTGTTTACGGCGAACGCTCTTTCATCAGTGGTGTGTTTTGTTTGTCGTGGACCACAGTTAGCGGGGGCTTCAGGCAGAAATACCCTGAAGAATACTGAAAAAAGCCACCACAGGGGGCAGCATTTATTGGCCATAAATTACACTTTCACTCATCTGTGTTGCTTCTTTCGCACATTTATGACGTTATATGTTAAAATAATATACTGTATATATAAAATAATATATTTTATAAGGCACCAGGAACTGTTTAAATGAACCAAAGGCCCAGGATGTCAGGAGAGTCTAAATGATGGCTGTAGTTCCACTAAACGATTAAAAAAAAAGTTTTTCCTGAAGGAAGTGGAAACTAAAAGTTCACAGAAACATGTTTCAAAATAAGAACCGTTTAAAGTTCCTGCACTAGAACTAATCGACAAATACAAAAACATGTTGATCAAGAGCATTTAAAAAACAAACCAAAACAAACACAGTCCAACTCCTGGTGTGGCTCCATGTGCATGTTTTATCCTCCGGCTCAGAAAAACAGTTCCTTAATTGCTCCCATCACGGCGTCGACTGGAACTCATGCCTCACTTTAAACGAGCAGCGACACAGATGAGTGAAACACACAGACCCCCCCAGCACACCTCACCCCCCCCCTCCACATGTGCGGTTTAACAAGCTGACGTCCCTGCTCTGCGTTCTCAGTGACCCGTCTCCCCGAGGGCGAGGGGACAGGCTGGCTGTCTGCTGATTGGACATGTGGCCTGGTCTTGGCATGTTGGTATGTCTTTAATCTGCTGCTGGGGGCAGAGGGGAAGGAGTGGGGGGGGTACGGAGGGGGGGCTGTTGTCTGCTTGTAGATTGGAAAGTGGTGGCAAATGGGGGTTTCCCACACCAGGAGG